TAATTGGCTTAAAATTATTCCTAACACATCCTAACTACAATACACATATTACGTACCAAGCCCGAAATTGTACCAAGCGCGGAGTGTACAACGATTTTTGTGCAGACCGCGAATGGTACAGTGCATTTTGTACAAAGCTGAATCTCCCGCACTTCGTACAGATATTTCTGTACTGAGCGAGCTTGGTACAATGCGTTTTGTACAATGTCACCGAATGCCGTTGTTGTGGTATACAGAGTCGATTGAAAAATACCTTAATAATTATTAAAAAATTAGAAAATCAGAGTTGCCACAATAATCCATTTTTCAATGTCCCTAATTTTTCCCTGAGATTAAAAAACTGCATAAAATGTTGTTACATTTTTTTATTTCAATTAATTTTAATATTTTTGATTTTATTCAATTTTAAAAATTTCTCTGATAAAATGTTTTATTATTATAATTGTTTTTGGTATTACAAAATATTATTTTTAAATCACAAATGTATTAATTTCAAGAATTACAAATTTAATCTTACTATTTTTATAATTTCCTATTTATTTGTACAACTCATTGAGTTGTGACACCTTGAATTGCATAAAACGTTTTTCTTTTTGCATGCACATCTGTTAGTGTTGCATTTTGTCAAACAAGAACACTTAACAAAATCTTGTCCTCCAGTTATTGAAGCCTTATTATTTGCAGATCGTACAGAGATGGTAACATCAGGCACGTCATCAATTTTTAAAAAATGATTAGTTGTTGGTGCTAACTGGTTTCTGGTGAACATTTGAGCAAGAACTCCGTCCCTCGTACCAACTTTGTAGTAATTATTAGAATTCATTAATGAGTTTTCATTCTCTTGTTACAATCTGGTAGTAAGAATCAATAATAAACAAAATTTCAATCGACTCTGTATACCACAACAACGGCATTCGGTGACATTGTACAAAACGCATTGTACCAAGCTCGCTCAGTACAGAAATATCTGTACGAAGTGCGGGAGATTCAGCTTTGTACAAAATGCACTGTACCATTCGCGGTCTGCACAAAAATCGTTGTACACTCCGCGCTTGGTACAATTTCGGGCTTGGTACGTAACACATACATAAACGCAGAATAACGCAACGCATATAGATACATAATTCACGCTGAAATGAGAAACTGTGAACTTCTTTATATACTAAATAGACAGATTTTTCTGCACTTGTGAGTACCTTTCAAAGAACAATTTTTATCATAAAATCATTTAATTTAATTATAGAAGCAAATTTATAACTTATTTAGAAAAAAAATATAGAATAATTTAAAACAATTATTTATCAAAACTTTTTGTAGTCTATATTGCAGAAATAAAAATTATATAAAAAATAATAAGAATATTATTATTATATAAGCTTGCATGGTAAGTTTGCCGAAAGATTGCAGTGTAAGGTTACTGCAAGATTGCATGATAAGATTATCGCAAGCATGCATAGTAAGCTTGCACGGTAAGCTTGTGGCAAGGTTGCCAATAACCTTCCCCAATCAATTTTTTGTTATATTACGCAAGCTTGCTGCAACCTTCTGTGCTGATTGGCAAGGTTAATTGGCAACCTTGCACCAACCTTGCTACAAGCTTACCGTGCAAGCTTACTGAGCAATCTTGCGATAATCTTACTGTGCAATCTTCCAGTAACCTTACACTGCAATCTTTCGGCAAGCTTACCATGCAAGTTTGGGTTAGGTGGGACATTTGAAGCTTGCTGCAAGCTTACGTGCTATCTGGGTATATTAGTTAATTAAAGAAATTTTACTGTTTCAACATTGTTACTTAATTACTTTTTTGGAGAAAATTGAAATTTATATGTACTGCCCACTTGACTAAAGCAATGATTTATTTCCTTTCAAATTAAAAAGTAAAAGATAATAAATTCTAAAATACAATAATTAAAAGATTTAACAATTTTTACATTTATTTTAATTAACATATTTAAGAATTAACAAATAAAAATTGTTTGATGGTTTTACAAAATAATAAACCTATCTATTTCATGTGTTTATTACAAGGAACTTTTCCTAAGAAACCTTCATAGTCTCCCTTAGTCGAGCGCGTCTAGGCGCAGCTTCCAGTACGGTTGAGCCCTGCAGTGTAGGTACACTAGTGATGGTCGAGAGCTCGAATCTCGGGAGTCAACCGGTTAAAAAATTTCGGTAATGTGTTAGGATTACTTACTAATTTTTTTTATTTTATTAACATTATCAACATCAAATTAAGATAAAATATGACACTCTCTTAATTTATTATATTAATTTTAAATGTATTTTAAATGTATGAAAGTCTTCTGCAAGTCTTCTGCAAGTCTTCTGTAAGTCTATTGCAAGTTTGCAAATGTAACCGTATATTTTATAAAACTATATTTTTGCAAAATTAAAATACGATGCGCAGTTCAATTCTATAACATATAGGGCTGCGCAGTACATTTTTTTCACCTTCCTGCTATGGTCCCAAATACATATTAAAGGGAATTTGTATCTAAAATTAAATTAATAATTAATTAATTAATTAATTAATTAATTAATTAATTAATAAATTGAATAATAAATTAATAATAGTTTCCAGCTAGCTTGAAGCAAACTTGCATCAAACTTGCAAATAACTTGCAGAAAACTTGCAGTAGATTGGCAGAAGACTTTCAGCAAACTTGCAGTGCAAGTTTGCAAAGGGTGGTACATTGCAAGCTTGCAAATCAAACTTGCAAAACTTGCACTGCAAGTTGGCAGCAGACTTGCGTGCTATCTGGATGGCCCTATTCACACTTCAGATGTTTCTTTGTAGAAGTACTGATTATCTTAGCTCTGATTGTGAGTAAAGCTGGAGGCCGTTTCCGAATTGGGATTTTTAGCGCACTTTTGATAAAGTGTATACTCCAGAAGTATGCGATGTCCTTTTTTTCGCACGGAAAAACAAGGACACTGCATTCTTCCCGAGAATACACTTTATCAAAAGTGCGCTAAAAATGCCAATTTGGAAACGGCCTTAGTTTTTATACACATTCACACAACAAGGTTGTGAAGATCATAATTGAAATAGTGGAACAAATTATAATAGAAATACAACCTAAACATATAATATTTTCTTATAGTCATTATAAATAATTAAATACAAAATAGGACTAAAAAACTAAATAAAAGAAAAAAAATGAAACGTAATTAACATAATAAATAAATTAAAAAAAAATATATTTTATAATTGAATTGTAATTAAATAAAAAAGTAAAAATAATAAAAAAATATATTCGAATAATTGATGAATAATTAAAATCAGAAAAAATGTGAATTATATATTAATTGGTGTGATCAAAATATTCAAATGACACCTTCCATATGTCACTAATGACATTATCGTCGATGACCTATGATTTTATATGTATATTTATGTATTTTACACTTTCTCCTTGAAGACGAGACACACGAGAAAGACATTAAATTTACTTTTTCAATGGGGATTTTTCGTTTTCTCCCTTTCTCTCCGTCGTGTGTATCTTTATAAGATTGGCCTTGAAAATGCGAAAAATCTCGAAATAAACCAATCGAATATCTCGATCTCTTTTCAGAAGACGAGTCGAAAGAACGACATTAATGAAGGAAATTCTGAGATACAAATCTCGTTAGGTAAATTCTTATGCAACTGGATGACACTCTCGCTTTCATATACGACGACTGCTAGATATCCGATCATCAAGGTTTCAGTCTCTTTTGATTCCTCATGTAGGAAACAGTGTTTTACTAAAATTTCTTGAACTTGATTTTTTTATGTAGGTATCTATTTGTTTTTCGACCTCAGGAATCCAAAAATCATATTTTTTCCTCCCTTTTATACAATAGTTATAATTCTTCAAAACGACGGAACGACAATTTTTATAAAAATATAATTTTTGGATTCCTGAGGTCGAAAAATATAATCATACCTACAAAAAAAATTCAGTTCAAAAAATTTTGGTAAAACAATGTGCTTCTTACATGAGGAAGCAAAAAAGATTAAAACCCCCCCTGATGATCGAGATATTCGATTGGTTCATTTAGAGATTTTTCACATTTTCAAGGCCAATCATATAAAGACTCACACGACGGAGAGAAAGGGAGAAAACGAAAAATCCTCATTGAAAAAGTAAATTTAATCTGTCTTTCTCGTGTCTCGTTTTCAAGGAGAAAGTGTAAAATACATAAATATACATATAAAATCATAGGTCATGTGGAAGTGACATGTGGAAGGTATCATTTAAATATTTTGATCACACCAATTAATATATAATTCACTTTTTTTCTGATTCCAATCATCAATTATTCGAATATATTTTTTTTATTTAATTACAATTCAATTATAAAATATATTTTTTAAATTTATTTATTTGGTTAATTACGTTTCATTTTGAGTCTGTGAAAAATCTTAAGCTTTACTTAGAACTTGATGGAGGTTCTACAATAAATGCAAAAGGCAAGTCCAAGTCCTAGTGCCAATCTCATGAGTGCGAAAGAGATAGGTATAGTCTATCTCTCTTGCACTCATGGGATTTGCATTTGGACTTGCACTTGTATTTGGCTTTTGCACCTATTCTGGAACCGCATTAAGAATATAAGTACTTCTACAAAGAAACTTCTGAAGTGTGAATAGGGCCAGTTTCAGAAAACACAACTGTCACTTTTCGGAGGTTTCTTTGTATTTAATATGCCATCTTCACACTTTGAATTTAAAATATAAGTAACCATTCCAACCCTGCTGCATGTGAATCAAGCCTTAGATTGGCAGTTGTCATCGACATCATGAGATGAATCAAAAAGAATAAGAACAATACACTAAAGGCCTAAGCAGAATGAATCCCGCTCTCGTATTCCTAACGGGATTTATTCTGCTTAGGCCTTTACCTAAAAATTGTAAGCCTCTTCAATTAAACTTATAATTAACATGAATTTAAAATAAAAATAAGCAGAGCAAACCTGGGAAGGAAGAAAGAAATAAATAGTATAACAAAACATGTGTATTAATTTAAAAGATTGCATTTTTTATTGTTCGTTTCTGTTGTTGTTTTTTTTCTTTGTTGACATATAAAATTAGGCACGTGGAAGATGATCTCCCTCGGCACGGAAGCCATTTTCGTCAGCGACATAGGTGACTTTGTATTCCTGGCCAGTGGCTGGGTCAACCCATTGGTAGCTTCCGCGGACAGCAATGGCTTCTTCTTCACTTCCGGCGTTGATCAATTCAGCGGTTTCCTCTTTCTTTTGTCCATCAGAAAGTTCGTAGCTGTATTGGTAGCCCTCCAAACCGTTGTTCTCGTGTAATCTCTCATTAACGAGGACAATTTCACTGGCAGCTGGAGCCACGAAGGTGCTTTCCACACGGGATTCGGCAACTGGAGCTAAATATGAGTTATCGACTCGTCGTGACTCAGCAGCAGGTGCCAAATATGAGTTGTCAACTCGAGATTCAGCAGCTGGGGCCAAGTAGGAGTTGTCCACACGACGACTTGCAGCACCACGATGATAAGAATTGTGTGGAAGACGTCCAGCGCAAGCAACGACCACGAGGGCAGCGAGAACTACGAACTGTAAGTAGAAAACCTTTTTCTTTATTTTTTCATCCATTTTGAACATTTTAAAAAGAAATTCTATCAACGGAAAATATTTTCCGCTCAAAGAATTTGCGAAAAGTCGATCTCAGAATTCAAATTTTTATTTTTACCGCAAATTTCAATTTAATATGTTAAAGTGCATTTTGGGAGTAAATGTATAATAACAATTGAAAAATATATAAAATTTCTTTTAAGAATATTAAACTGACCGAACTTTTTGACTTTGGCGCGAAATTGAAATTCGTAAATTGTTTCCTTTTTGCTAATTTTGAGAATGTTTGTAAAGTTTTGCTTAAAAGTATAATTAATAACAAATTCCATTTTATATTTTTGAAAATAAAAAAATATGAACAAATTGATTTATATATATATATATTTATAACTTTACTTTTTCTGATAAAAAGTTGAAATTATTTTTTCATTTAATTTAAAAAAAAAGTTATCTGTAACTTTTATTTAAAATTCATCTTTGAAATAAAAATTGAAACAAAAGAAATTTCTTTTTAAATAATAAGAATAGTTATTATTATTATAAAACGGTAATTAGAAAATAAATTGTAAAAAAGTAGACATTTTTTCCTCTCACCTGTTTCATGATGAATTTTGTAAGAAGAAGAGATGCTTTCCACAAATTGAGGAAACTGAGACTGATGATTAGTTGAAGATGTTCCGCGGTTTATATACCACTTTTTTCGATAATGCCCTTTTGATTATTAATTTTCAAATTTGGTCAATAGAATAATTAAATTATAAGATATATATATTACATGAATAGCAGGCTTTGATTACTAAACGCATCATCAAAATTCATATATAATGCGCTCATTAAAATATTCAAATTCACTTTTTCCGATTATATACGGGATATCTTCTTCATATTCATTTTTTTAATAACGAAACATTAGGAAATTTTACATAAAATGGTAAGATAGTTTTTATTATTTATTCATGTTATAATATTATAGTATGATATTGTGTAAGAAAATGTAAAGAATGAGCGACATGTTTTATGCACATAGATTTGAGATGTCTCTAAAATTTTAAATGTTTAAATTTTTTCCGTTTCAATATTTTTTACAAAATTATTGTATTTTAATAGTGAATAAAAAAGTTAAATATATAATAATTTTTTTAAGAATTGTTGGCTTAATAAAAGAAATAATTTTTGTTCAATAATTGTTAGCTTAATAAAATAAATAATTATTTATTTAATAAATGTTGAATTTTTTATTTAATATAATGAAATACAATAATTTGGTAAAATACCGAAACCGAATAAATTTTAACGCTCGAAATTTTTGAGACATCTAAAAGTTTATGAAATTTTACAAAGCAAACTTTCTATAAACTTGCACAGCAAGCTTTCTGCAAACTTGCCCTGCAAGCTTTACTTTAACTTACATTTAAGGGGTTACCACTTTTAAAGTTTGAACGCATGTAAAATTACACCTTTTTCAAGAATTTTTTTTTAGGAAAGGAAGTTTTTTTAATAAAATTAAAATACATAGCGTTATTATGCTACAATTAAACTACAAAAAATATATTTAGAAATTTTTTTTTCAATTACCTGTTTGACAGGTGATTTAGCGGAGCGCTGCAAAAATCGATGGTCGTGTGGTGGACCAGACTTAGTCCAGATTTGAGTTAAAATAAAAAACCAAAAAGTCGAGGGGGAATTTACTCAGGTAGTCAAGTGTACACGCTTCCTGTAATACTTGTGTAATATCGTGTAATACCGTGGAATAATGCGTTATTACGGTGCTGTAATAACGCAAAAAAGTCTGCAAACTACTCGAAGACTACTTTCTGCTTTTCCAATTGGTAATTTAACTATTTAAAGTAGTTATTTTTACTACTTTTATTAGTTTCTATAACTATCCTTCTTAAGTTTTGAGTTGTAAATTTTTCATCTTTTAATTATATTATAAGTTGTTTAATTGCATAGTGCAGTAAAATCTACTACTTAAAGTGATAGTTTTAATTGCAAAGGATTTTTTAATTCTACGACATAAATGTTCTTAAAGCCTAATTGAACCACTTTAAGTAGTAAAAGCTACTACTGAAAGTAGTAGTTTTAATTACAGACGACTTGTTAATTCTACAACAAGAATTTTATTGAAGCCAATAAAATCATAAAATTAATAAAAAATTTACTCCTCTAAAAGCAGTTATATTAATTAAAGAAAATAATTCCTTTTACTACATTTCATATAACTGGTGAATAATAGTTGGATTTACTACTCTTGAAATTTTGAGTTGACTACAATTCCACTTGTTTTTACTACCTTAAGAAAGTTAATTTTACCACCGACCTGTAGTTGTACTTTAACTACATATTTACGTAAAATCAACTATTACTTATTAACTTCTTAAAAATAGTTACATTAACTACATGAACATGATTAGATTAACTAAAAAAGTAGTTATTTTAACTACTTTCTAGTCAACTACCCAATGGCAGTTGAATTTCTCGGTAACATTTTTTTCAGTGTACATAAAATCCAATTGTTAATCCGAATTTGATATTTTCCAACCTCTACTAATTAGTACCTGGCATCGATATAAAATTGGATCTCGCGATATATAACAAATAGAGAAAATACTTTTATCATATATGTTTAAATTAAACGCAGGAATTTAAAACCAGACCCAAAAACGCAAATAATAATACTCGACAAAATTCTTAAAGGTTTGTATAAACTTGGAAAAGTAAAAGGCGTATCTTACTTAATTTACGAGAGTTGCTCCGTGCCGGCTGCTGTTATTGGAAGGATGGAAGATTGATGGTGGACCTTCCATATCCCCCCTATCTCTCTTTCTCTTGAATACAGGATGAATTAGTATTCTTTATTTTTACCTTAAAACAAAGTTGTTACATATCAGTTACAGAACTGTTTACAAATTTTTTGAGAATATATTCTGTAACTGGTTAAGAATCTGTGGTTCACTGGTTCAGACTAGGTGATATGTATATAAAAATTTTTGAGTTTTTAAAATTTAACTACAGATAAGTTAAATGATCCATTAATTTATTAATTCCATGGCAAATAGTAAAGTACCTATAGACACTTTGCATTTTTGATCTCAGTTACTAATATAATCCAGAACCGAACTTTATCAGAATTTTAAAACAGCTACACACAAAAAACAAATACTGAAACCGTTAACATCTTAAAATCAAAATGCCTGGAAACTATCGTAATTTTTATCTTAAAACTAGATTAAGTCAATTTTAGGACTTACAATCATACACTCAAGGCTGAAATTCAGTAAAAATAGTTATAATGTTAACGGTTTTAGTCAAAAGTGAACTGAAACTAAGTATTATTTTTTAGTGTGTACATAACATTGTTCTGGCATAGTTCTAGAACTTAATTGGAACGTCAGTTACAGATCATTTGTGACTATTGTGTTACAGAAATGTTACATAACATTGTTACAGAACTGTACACATAATATAGAACGGTTCTGTAACACATTTTTAACAATGTACTTGTAACAAATGTTCGATAAATATTTATTTACTTTGAAAATATAAAAATTTTAATCAAAAAATTTTTTTTAAATTCCATACCAATTACTTTGAAAAAAAAATAAACTGTCCAAGTAGAAACTTGCAAGGCTCGTCGGAATTAAACACCGGCACGGTACTGACCCAATACTGGCCGTCGGTATTGACTCTCAGTACTGTCAGTGTACTGACTTATACACCGAATCACTACTATGTCGGAGGTAAAAAAATATTAAAATCAGTACTAGCAGTACAATGTCATGCACACCAAATCAGTACTATGTCGGTGGTAAAAAAACATTAAATAAAAAAGTCTTTAAATTGTTCTAATAGGTAGAAAATGATGATTTTTTTATTAATATTGACCAAGTGCAAAATTCAAAGACTTCCAATAAGGCCCAACATTGGCCCAGTAATGTCTGTTGAAGTACGACAAACGTTACTGGGCCAATACTGGCGATCAACTCGTCCCATTATTGGGCCAATATTGGCACCGATTCTCGGTAGCTCTAATTTGCCTTAATTGGGCCGAATTCTTTCCCATTACTGGGACAATATTAGCACCAAAACTTGATAATTCTGATTTGCCATAATTGGGCTGAACTCTGTTCCAATACTGCATTATTGGCACATTAATGGCTGAAATGTTGAATTTATATTGACAAGTAATTTTTTCCAAAGTTGTAACGAATCTTGGCCCAGTAAATAGCCACTCCGTAATTCGAATCATTTTTATTATTACATGGAATTTTTTTCACAAGTACTGTTGAATATATGTAATATTTGGTGGTTGTAAATACTAAAGTTGGATAGGAATTAATCACAATTTTTGTTATCACGGTAAAACTTATAATATATTAACTCACCCCTCTACGTCTCCACTCAATATAACCTCTGACTGTTGGTTGTCTGCAAGTGCAGGGTCAAGTGCATCGGGCAATCTGCCAACAATATGCACGTATTCATATCACGCGTTTTTTTTATTTTTCAACGTGCTTTTAAAGGCATGCAATTGAAAAATATTAAAAATATTACACTGGCAGAACATGCAATGCAATCCTGTTGGAGGTAAAAGAATTTCAACGAATACGAATTTTCTATTTTTCAACGCACACTTTCTAACTATTTTAATTATTTTGAATCAGTCACCCTGACTAAAGTTTTGGATTAAATTTTAATTACTTATATGTATTATTCCAGCAAATTTGTTTCTATCTGAATCTAAATTTTAATGTAAATATAAATAATAATATATTCTTTACAAAACTTTGATCCATTTTAATGCAGATCCGGATTTCCGCTTACATCGGATTTTTTTCCGGTCCCTTGAATTTTCCTATGTAAGTCTGTGTTAAAATACCCGCTTACATTGGATCCCGTTATATCAGAAACCCGCTTACATCGAACCAATTTTTAGACCCCTTAAGTTAAATTTTTCTCCTATGATATCGCCCAGACAGCACAAAAACTTGCAACAACCTTGCAGCATTATAAAAATGCCAGGTTCCCAAACTTGCGTGGCAAGCTTTCAGCAAGATTGCCTCAAGTAACAAAATGTTCCACATTAGCAAGCTTGCAATGAAAAGTTGCTGCAAGCTGTCAAAAAATGTTGCCGCAATCTTCCAATGAAAGGTTGCTGCAAGCTTTCATTGCAAGCTTGCTAAAGTGGGACATTTTGTTACTTGAGGCAATTTTGTTGGAAGCTTGCCGTGCAAGCTTGGAGACCTGACAGTTTTATAATGCTGCAAGGTTTTTGCAAGTTTTTAGGCTGTCTGGACGGATGCGCCAATTTTGAAAAATGAAAATATAAAAAATTACCGATTTAGATATCTATCTTGCCGACTGATGGTAAAACAATTTTTTTTAAATGAAAATATAAAAATTACCAACATAGAAATGTACCTTACCAACAGATGGTAAAACAGTTTTTGAAAAATGAAAATATAAAAAGTTACCGACATATAAATCTGCCTTACCGACTGGTGTCGGTAATTTTTATATTTTCTTTTTTCAAAAAACTGTTTTACCATCAGTAGGTAAGGTAGATTTCTCTGTCGGTATTTTTTATATTTTCATTTTTCAAAAATTTGTACCCTTATGATCACTTAGCGCTCCCAAATAAAATTGGATTTTGCAAACGCGCATTATATCGTATATCGGACCCACATAATTCGCATTCCCACTTACATCGGATTTTTTTCCGATCCCTTGAAATCCGATATACTTGGGTTTCACAGTATTTACTTTTATATAAATTTAAAAAAAATTATAAAAAGTGGAAGGAATCTGGGACAACCACAATATTTTGGTGAACTGAAAACAAATCTGAGCTCATTTATTTGCTCCATCACGTCCGGATTTTTTTATAACCTCAAAAAACTTATTGGATTTAAAGTAGCATACAATTTCTTTAAAATATTGATGGATTAAAATAAAATTTGTTACTCGAGGGTTTTTAATGTCGCTGATTACGAATATGAAGTCATATTTTCAAAATTCATAATGGTGAATACAATATGTCAATAACATAAATTTAATTTGTGAAGATTTAACATGTGAAGATGTTATTGTTAATTTAAAGACTTTGACCTTTAGATATATGTATTTAACCCATTGTCCGTTAGTTATAATTGAGGGGGGATCATATTTTACACAATCAAAAAAATCAAAAAAAATTCTCTTGGGTAAATCTTCTATTTCCAAATTCTTCCCCGCAGAACGGCTCTTGTAAAGGTACTTTAGTATATTAGTAAGCTCTTTATAGAGCCGAGATTGCTAATTAGAGAAATATTGAGTCCCGTAAAATTTATACTTATTGAACCTTAAACTTTGAAGCGCGTTTTCTCTAATTCCTATGTGAACTGAACAAATTTCAAAAAAAAAATTTTTTACAATTTTGAGAACCAGTTAAAGTCATTATTTTCTTGTTTTTATATCTCAAAATATTCGAATTTCACTATTTATTTGAAATTCTTTTAGTTCACATAAAAACTACATATGTAAGCTTTAAAATTTTTCTTTGATTTTATGATTTAAACAAGAATTATGATCTCCAACGTGCTCACTGTTTCTACAGTCAAGATGTGCACCAACGTCAACAATTAATTTTTACTTGTTTATTTTTTAATATTTTGTGTCAAAAATTTTTTTACAAATACTAGAAATAAATACAAAAACATCTCAAAAAGCCCAGAGGTCTAATTGTAAGTTATTTTTTTCCTCCTTAAAAAAATTCTCAAAAAAGCGCTATTTTCAGGCCTCCTCAAGTAGAACCCCCCCTTAATATATGTATATATATATTTTTTAATATGTCAATAAAATGGCTTATTATGTTTTGCAGATCTTAATGTTACATTTACGATAAAAAAATAAAGAAATTTTTATGACTAAATATATTTTATATCAAACAATGGTTAATGTTTAAAACAGCGAATACAATATAATGATATTTAAAAAGTTTTAAAACTCGAAATGCGTTCATCGTACCCAATGAGTAAAATGAAAAGTAGAGTTGACAATCGAAGGCAAAAACGCTCGATACTGACCCTGGCCTTCCTATAAACCGAGAAAATGCTTATCGTAGAGGTTCAAGGTTGGCGTCGCGACGTAAGGCGTCTTTCTGTCTCCACGTGCCGACACTAGGTCTCGTTTTTTCAAATAGAAAATGCAACTAAAATCGCATATCATTCACCTCTATATTTCAACTAATAATAATTCTAGCAACTTAAACCTTGAGGTAAGGCCTTCCTTAATTTAGTTTCTTCCATTTTTAAAATTCTCATAAGCAATCATAAGAATAAAATTGAAATTTTTTTGATTAATTTCCAAAACGTGTTTCATGAAATTTTTGTTAGTTTAAGTACATATTTTTATAAAAAAAATATATTACAAGTTTCTGTTAGAAATCTTTTTACTATTTAAAGACAAGTTCAAGGAATATTTAAACATTTTTTTTAGTAGCTTATGGATAAATTTTTATTTTTTTAAACTAAATATCGAAACGTTTCTTTTTAAACTAGTCAATATTTAATTACTAACTTTGATTTCCAGTCAAAAAAGTTAATTAGTTTTTCTTAAAATTTTTTTTAAAAAATCAAAAACTGTGGTTTTTAAGAAGCTATATTTTATAATAGTTTAATAAAAATATTCAATGTAAGGAATTACTGATGCGGAACTTATCTGTGTATTTATTTAAACTTTGGTAAAAAAATTAGTGGCGCTATCTACTAGGAAAAATAGTCGT